TTCTCGCCGAGTTAAGTAATTCTGGGCCTGGAAAACAGCTATTGTGTTCAGGCCCAGGAACCCATGGGAAGCCTCTCGCATTCCTCTTTAGGCTTCTAGCTTGCTCCTTTCACTATAGACGAGGCTGTTTGTTTTTTTTTTAAATGAAATGCCTTTTTCTCCCACTCACTTCCTGTTCCCCCACTCTTTCGCCACCTCTTTCCTCTTTTTGGTCATTTTATTCAGCCAGGTGTTCCGGTTGCCCATATCTGGGTCTTAGAGAGCCGTATAGCTTCATGTCATAACTGGATTGATCTACGTGAGAGAATTACACTTCCTTATTTTGAGGGTCCAACAGCATCTGCAAACGAGGCAGGGAACAATCTCTGGCTTGGGAGGACAGTAGTGGTAGTCCTCAACTTACAGCCATTTATTTAATGACTGTTTGAAGTTACAACGGCACTGAAAAAAGTGACATGACCATTGCATGACAGTTGCAGCATCTGCATGGTCACATGATTAAAATTCAAATGCTTGGCAACTGGCATGTATTTATGATGGTTGCAGTATCCTGGGGTGTTGTGATCAACTTTTGTGACTTTCGGACAAGCAAAGTCAATAGGGAAGCCTGATTGACTTAACAACTGTGTTATTAACTTTACAACTCCAGTGATTCACTTAACAATGGTGGCGAGAAAGGGTTGTAAAATTGGGCAAAATCAGTGATGGGTTGCCCCTGGTTCGCACCGGTTCTATAGAACTGGTAGTAAAACAGGCGGGAGGCTCTGCCCACTGACCCTGATGTCAACAAAATGCTTCTGCGCTTGCTCAGAAGAGCGCACGTGCGTGCGAGTGAAGCAAGCGCACGCGCGCAGCCCTGCTGGAAACCGGTAGTAATGATAAGTAGAACCCACCCCTGGGCCAAACGTTAAGTGAGTCTTGCTTAGTAACAAACATTTTGGGCTCAATTGTGCCTATAGGTTGGAGACAACCTATAACTGTTTCTTCCTCTCAGAATTTCTAAGTCCTAAAATAATGTAAATTGTTAAAGACAAAATAGGAGGCAGGGATATTAGGTATACAGTGGTACCTTTGTACCTTTGTAGGACTACCTTTGTAGTCATCATTAATTGGTTCTGGGTGGTGCAATGAGTACCAAAAATGATGAGTACCAAACAGATTTTTCCCATGAGGAGTAATGTAGTGAATCACAAGGCAGCCAACACTGACAAGTTCTACCTTGTGTGTTGAATACCAAACAAACAATGATTACTGGGACAATATTTTTCCATCAAAATGCATTGATTACCAAATTGAATGAGTTTCAAAGCAGTTGAATACCAAGGTACCATTGTATATATAAATGAATACTAATAGATAATATACCTTAAAATGTTATATAAATATAAATGTATATACAATGTACCCTGTTTCCCCCCAAAATAAGACATCCCATGATAATAAGTCCAATCCGGCTTTTGAGCACATGGCAATAAGGCCAAGTGCTTATTTCAGGGTTCAAAAAAATATAAGACAGGGTCTTATTTTCGGGGAAAGACGGTATTTATTTTCTTCACCTTTATTACTTCATAAATAACCCAAGGCAGCAAACGTACCTAATCCTCCTTCCTCCTCCTCTTTTCCCACAAGAACAGCCCTGTGAGGTGAGTTGGGCTGAGAGAGAGGGACCGGCCCAAAATTACCCAGCCAGGTTTCATGAAGTGGCAGGAAACTGATTCCACAGGAAACAGGAATCTATATACAGTATAATTTCAGCAGCATAATGCATGTATTTATTTGAAGACACATTTTTCAAATATTTTCATATCTATATCATAGATATAAAATTAATTCCTAAAGTGTATTCTGTGATGAAATTCATTGTACATAAATGCAGTATTCAGCACTCTGGGTACTTAGAAAAATAAAAGGAATTGTCATTTTAAAAAAGTACCATATGTTAAGGAAAGATTTAAGTAACAAATGATTGCATTTTGGAATATTTTGTGCCATTAAAGCAATTTAGCGATCTGCATAATTTCAAAGTTTGTATATAGGATGTATCAAAACAGGTCTCATAGAATTGAATATATTGAATAAATTACTTCAGATATTTGAACTGGTTGCCATTTTCTTTTAAAAATTGTTTTCTTTCTTTCTTTATTATTTGACACACAATCTTCAAATATTCCTAAATATGGAGTATTTCCTCTTATGTTTCCAGATTTCCTTTAGATCATCTGGTGGAGTATAGGACTTCCTTCCTTCCTTCCTTCCTCCCTTCCTTCCTTCCTTCCTTCCTTCCTTCCTTCCTTCCTTCCTTCCTTCCTTCCTTCTCTCTGGATTACTTTTGATGCAGCCTGTATATTTAAACCATAATTCCTCTCCTGTAAGCCACAGAAGGTGTCTTTTTGGGAGAAGAGATGTTGGAACCATGAATATTTGACTGACTCCTTGTAAGGATTATGAGATATACAGTTCATAATAAAGAGATAAGTCTAAAAATTGATGGAAGAAAGTAGAGGCAAGAGAATAGGATAGGATTCAGGATGAGAGTAGGAATAGCTCCTGAAGAAAAGCTGATTTCACCAGGGGGCACTCTAGGGAACAGGACAAAACCCCCTCCCATTTATCTTGAGAGAACATTTAACAGGATGTTATTCAGTCAAGTAATCTTTCATCTGCCTACCCCGATCTGCCTGGTCTAAATTCAGGTTAATTAAAAACCAGGTAATGAATTGGAATGTATTTTTCTCAGGGCGGTTGAGTTGGTGTTTTTTTCCACCTGACTGCTTCAGGAGAGAGATGGCCTAATTTCAAAGAATTAATAGTTAATTGTCAAGGGCCAAGATCAAGCCCACCGATCCTCCCACTTTAAAAGTCACCTTTTCCCCTAGTTCTTAATAAACAGACTATGCAGAAAATGGGGGTGAGGGAAGAGCATAAGGCTATTTAAAAAATCCAAGGTTTTTTTTCTGAAAAAGTACTTCAAAAGCAGAATATTTATACACACACGCATTCATGCAGAATTGGTTTTTGCTTTCGCAGACATGCTGCATTTTTTATCTTTTATTCTTGCCTTCATGCTTAGCTAATTATTTGCTTTCTTCTTGTCTGATTAACTATGTGATCTTTCTGTTCATTTAATTTAACAAACATATGAACTAAATACAAGAAAAAAAGCTATTATAGACTATTAAAAGACTTTTCTTAATTATCCGGGTTTCCAACTGGAAATGCCCTTGGCAAATAGCTCCATTCCAATTCAGAAGAAAGACATGATTAATGATGTTTAAAGGATGTTTTGCTTTATTGGGGGTTTAATTGAGTTCTGTTACATATATTAAACTCAACCCCTGGCAGAAAATAAGAGTCTGAATCTGAGAACTTCTCAACCTATTCCAAAATTTTGCTGTCTGTCTAAAGCAGGAATGTCAAACTCAAGGCTGCTTAGATCTGGCCCATGGGGCCACCCTGAAACAACAAAGGACCGGCCCGCACTGTTTCTGCCAGCAGAAAGAGAGCTTGGGAGGATCGCACGAGGCCTTCCCGGGCTCCATTTTCAGCCGTGATGGCCTCCTGCAGCCCTCTGCCAGCGAAAACGGAGCTTGAGGGAGGGCTATAGGAGGCCGTCGTGGCTGAAATCGGGGCGCAGGGTGTGCGCATGACCACCCTGGGCTCCATTTTCACTGGCAGAGGGTTAGCAAAACAAACTAAAAATAAAACAAAAGGAGAAATGTTTCCCCTTTTGCATTTGAGCATGCAAGAAGGGACAGGAAAGGAGAAAGGGAAAGACGAAAGACGAAGCAAAATAAGGAAAGATAGGAAGAGAGCAAGGAAGGAAAAATAAGGAAAGAGGGAAAGGAAGATGAGAAGGAAGAGGGAAGGAAAAAGAAGAAAAGGAAGGAAGAAAGGAGATTATAATGAGAGTGAGGGAGGGTCTGAGGGAAGTCCTGCCTTAGACCTTGGCCACTACAGGTGCCCCCAACATGCGTGACGTTGAGCTGGCCACGCCCCCTGGTCATGCCTCCCCCCCCTCAAGGTCAAACACAACCCTGATGCGGCTCTCAATGAAATTGAGTTTGACACCCCTGATCTACGGCACGATCAGACAGGACAATATCGGCATTTTGCTCTGACAGACTTTGAACCTGAAACCATTTGTAGGCCAAATCTAAGTGTCACCACTGTGGTACAGGCCTTCTCTAGCAGCTAAAGGATTGTGGAAGGAATACTCATAGCATTAACTGTTAAGATTGAAGTATCCTACACCAATATCTTATTTCTATTTCTTTTGTTTTGCCTATTCTTTGCTAACAGGAAATAGATATAGGATACTGTATTGCTGTAAGGAATCAAAGTCACACAGAGTCACCCTAGGATTGTCCAGTTGAATCTGAATTAATTTTCTTGTGCAGATGAAGTGAAGGTAAAAGGAATCTCACAAAGGGAAAGCAGAAAATGTCAGTCTTGTGGGATCCTTGGTCCTCTCTGAGCTTGGTTGTGAAAATGCCAGTCCTCCCAGGTAAACCAGACAGGAAACACAACCTAATGAGCTAATTCTACCTGGGGTCATATGATCACCTTTTGTGACCTTCTGACAAGCAATTCACTTAACAGCTTACTAACAGCTTAACAGCTTACTAACTTAACAACTGTGGCAAGAAAGGTTATAAAAATGGGGCAAAACTCATTTAATAACTGTCTCATTTAACAACAGAAATGTTGGGCTCAATTGCAGTTGTAAATCGAGGATTACCTGTATTCTAGGAAACAATAGATAATGATCAGGACAAAGATCCTTCTTTCCAATTGCTTTGTGGGGCACTAAGAATTAAAAAAAGGGAGAAAGTGAACTAGTGACAAAGTTGAACCCGAGAGCTTGAAAGTGGCTCTGGACCGGAGCTGGTTCAATTGCTGGTGGGATGGTCCTTCTCCTCCTCCATCTCCCAAGCCTCCTTTAAGTCTCTGTTTCAATGCAGCTTGAATCTTAACACCATCTACCTCTTTGCTTCCTGCAGCGTTGCAAAGACCGAGTGAATGCCTTGGCCATTGCCGTCATGAATATGTGGCCGGGCGTAAGACTGCGAGTGACGGAGGGCTGGGATGAAGACGGACACCACCTGCCTGACTCTCTGCACTATGAAGGCCGGGCACTGGACATCACCACCTCTGATCGTGACCGGGAGAAATACGGCATATTGGCCCGCTTAGCTGTGGAGGCTGGCTTTGACTGGGTGTACTATGAATCCAAGGCGCACATCCATGTTTCTGTGAAAGCAGGTACAGAGAGCCCCCGAACTATAAAAAGGGGATAGTAGAGCCAGTAGGATTTTCATGAAGCCATTTGAAGAGCAGGATTCCTAGGTTCCATTACCTGCCTGGGCAGAGAAAAGAGCCAGAGAATAGTATTTTTGAATGCGGGGGCAGCATCAGACTTGGCACTTCCCCAAATTAGGCAACATATTAATACTTGTAATGGTTCTGTCTTCTTATATCCTTCGATATAAGATGAGCGGCTATATAAATGTTTTAAATAAATACTGTACTTTAAACTAGGTTAATTCCTCATCCAGGCCATAAATAAAGTTAAATCTCTTTATTTAAGTATCTAACCACCACTTTTTTTCTCAAAGAATCCCAAAGCCAGTCTTAAAATCAGTGTAAAATCAGAATAAATCAAGAGCAAAAATCAGAAGGAAACCATTATTATTCCCATTAAAAGACAAATGTTGGCAAGGGAATACCATGATTAAAATACAGTTTTAAAAAGGTTGTTTCCCCTTTGTACACGTTGTTATACATGACATCCAGGCCAGCAATGACCTTGTGGCACTCGGAGTCTTCCTTTTTCTTCTCCCTACAGCAAGGATCATCCTTGGTTTGAGGTCCAGTGCCTTTCCCACTGCCCATAGACTCCACTGGCCTTGGCATCAACACCTGGCAAGGAAATTAGATGCTCTAGGACAGGGGTGTCAAACTTACGATGACACATTGTCATCACGTGACATATCACAATTTTCCTCGCTTCGCTAAAATGGGGGTGGGGGTGGCCAGCGTGTGACGCATCCGGCCCGCGACCCACAAGTTTCATACCTCTGCTCTAGGAGGCTCCCAAATGCAGTCAAAGACAGGAGGCCCTCAACCTTGAGCCCAGACCAGAAGCCAAACGCAGCCCATCTCATGATGTTGCCTGTTAAATTCCCTAGATAACTCCATGGCTATTCGTGCAGGCGGCTGCTTCCCTGGCGATGCGACTGTGACGCTGAGGAGTGGCGAGAAGAGGAGCCTCTCCAAGCTGCGCCACGGAGACTACGTATTCAGCGTAGATCAGAACGGACAAGTGACGCTTAGTGAGGTTCTGCTGTTCCTCCACCGAGAGCCACACCAGCAGACCCTCTTTGTGGCCATTGAGACAGAAGAACCTGTTCGCCGGCTGCTGCTTACATCCTCTCATCTCATCTTCGTTGCACGGGACCCGGTCAACAGCACAATGGACTTCTCTCCTGTGTTTGCCAGCAGAGTGTGTGTGGGGGACTTTGTTTTGACATACCAGGGGGGTGACCTTCTCTTGCATCCTGCCCGAGTAGTCCGGGTTTGGCAGCAAGAGGGCACTGGTGTCTATGCCCCCTTAACCACCCATGGCACAATCCTGGTCAATGGGGTCCTGGCATCCTGCTATGCAGTCCTTGAAAGTCACCATTGGGCTCACTATGCCTTTGCCCCATTACGCTTTGTCTACGGCATCTTCTCACTACTGTCCCTGAAGGGAGAGTCCAGAAACTGCAGTGCTCAGGAAACAGGCGTGCACTGGTATTCACAGGTTCTGTATCATCTGGCATGGGACTTGCTGGGCCAGGATGCACTTCGCCCCTAAGAGGGTTGCTGGTCCACTTGTTTGCCAGACAAAGTTAAACTCATCAAGTCTTTAGATAAAAGGGAGACCCTTGAGTATTTGCTTGGCTCCATATCTCCTTGCCTTGGCCGGCTAATGATTCTAGAGCTGAGGTCCCTTTAAAGCATCAACCTTTGCAACAGAGAAACTAGCTTGTGGCCATGTGGGAGTTGGATTGAGGGATTAGGTCAACTGATACCAGTACTCCTGCTGTAGGTTGCATATCACAGGCGCTGGACTTCCTACAGATGTGTTTGGGGAGCTTAAAAATATCTGAGGCATGCTGTGTTCTCCTAAATTTAGCACAAAGTCAATAAGCCCACTGTCTTAATTTTTAGCAGGTGGAATGGCTTTCCCATAGGTGACTTGATCGGCTGGGTTTATAAAACCAGCATAAGGTCAGACGTGGCTTTTTTTTTTTTTTTACTCCCCCTGCAGTTGCCTTAATGGGATAAGTCAGGAAAGAGCGAGGTATACAGTAGAAACAAGTGCTGATCATATCTAGATGACCAGAAGATTTTTCACCTTCCTCTAGCTTCAGAAATGTATCTGATCATTTCTGTGACATGCATTCGAGGATAGGTAACAAACAGGTTAGCTTGACCCTTCAATTTGGGCAGGTGATATGGAAACCTGCAAGGTCTGTCTAACCCAGTGCCAGTGGGGCTTTTCCAAGGAGGTCAAGAAACATGCTGGGGACCATGTATGGAATAAGAATGGCTCATAGCAGAATGTGGGTAGTGTCTGTATAGCTTGGCATCCTTTTCCTTACTGAGTTTCTTTCAGCACTGGATTCAAGAAAGACGCAAAAGAGGCAAATCCAATCTTTTGCAGGGGGAGATCTCGTAACCACCCAGGCCGGAATGATGACTGAATGGTGGTACAGGTAGTCCTCAATTTACAACCATATGTTTAGTGGCCATTTGTGGAGTTAAAACGGCACTGAAAAAAGTGACTTATGACAGTTTTTCACATGACTGTTTCAGTAGATCTGTGGTCATGTGATCAGAATTCAGATGCTTGGCAACTGGCATGGATTTATGACTGTTTCAGTATCCTGGAGTCATGTGGTCACTTTTTGTGACCTCCTGACAAGCAAAGTCAATGCGCAAACCAGATTCACTTAACAACCATGTAACTAACTTAACAAGTTGCAGTGATTCATTTAACAACTGTAGCAAGAAAGGTTGTAAAATGGAGCAAAATTCACTTAATAATTGTTTTGCTTAGCTATGGAAATTTTGGGCTTAATTGTGGTCATACGTCGAGGACTACCTGTGTGCTGGATAGCCATTGGACTTGCTGCCTCATCTCTTTTCTGATACCCTTGGATCTTAAGCAAGATCCACCTGCATTTTCCTATTGCCACTATGGGCAAGGGATGAATGGGAAATTAATACTTCCTTATGAAGATTAAAATTCATGCTACTCCCTTAAGTCTGCAGTACATTAATGAGAGTAACATTTAACTGGCACTCCAGAGTTTTTATTTTTATATTTATGTAAGTAGTAAATTAAATGTGGTCTGCCACCTCTTTGTCTTGTACTGTAGGAGATACTAATTGGATGTTTTTGACAGGGAAATGAATGAAAGGAGCAAGCTGTTATTTCTGCAGGCTGTTTAACGCTTCCCTTCTTTTTTTTTTTTGCAATATATTTTTGTGTGTCTTTAACTAAAGAGAATTACTTTGACTCTGGTGTCTTGATGTGTTTCTTGAAGAATCTGTTTCAATATCCTATTTAAAGATGGGGGAGGGAGAAGATGAAAAATACAATATTAAAAATACAGTCAGCATTGGCAAGCAATCCCCTTATCTTTTAGTTCATTGGGGCAAAACATTCTATTTTATACACGTGTCTATCCCGGAAGTTTGCACTGTTCACCTGGGATATAGAGTGATTTTATATTTGCCATGCCTGCCCCCATTCTCTTAATGGTGTGATAGGAGTTTTAGACTTTCTGCATCTTGGTCACCCATAGCCTTCCCAGAATGCACTTGGGCCAGCTAAATTTTCGATGGCATCTTCCACATGTCTGCGTCTACCGACTCAGTGCCAATGTGAGACTTATCTCTGATGCATTTACAGATTCGTGGGTTCAACCCTCATTGCTGCTTGTGCAAAAAGTTATAACTATGAAGCTAAGACTCAGATCAGGCCCGCAGAGGAGTGCATCTGGCTAGAAAGATTGCTGGAAGCCGCCAATTAACTCCCAGCCCTGTATCTTCCTGCAGGGCCACGACTTGCTTGCTGGCACAGCTAGTCACGCCTGGGAGGGCACCCAGTTGCCTCCTGCTGGGATGTTTGACTTTGTGCCACCATTTCATACGCTTCTGATCCTGGTTCGCATTCCTACTGCTGACATTTGTATAATGAAGGTCAAGAGAGAGCTGGGAGCTAACAGAGGCAACTGTTTACACTGGGGTGTGTAGGCGTGAGGTCTGGCTGGTTCTATGTCCTCCCTATGTCTGTCTAGCCCCACTTCCCACTCTTCTTGAATTGCACACTTCACCCCAGTGTGGGTTTCTGGCAAGGGAGCAATTGGGAGCCTTCTTAACAGGTGTTGATGACAGAAAGCTGCTCAAAGCTTCAATGGGAATGGGCAGCTATAATACATTTACAATAATAATAACCTGGGCACTTCGGCAATTTTGAAATCAGAGCAAATTTTCCTTGTAGGAAATTTTCATTAAAAAGTGCGATTTCCCAACATGTGTTCTTTTTGGTAAGACGGTGGATGACAATTAATAGTAAATAAGGCTGGTACTGGTGGATTCGCAATATAAATTAAGCTTGTCATATTTTCTGCACTGCTTTAACAAAAAAAAGAAAAAGAAATCCAGCTTCATTACTTAATTTTAATTGGGATCTCTGCTGTTAATCATGCCTGAGAAATTAAAATCAGACCTCGAATTTGTATCCTTAGAACGCAAAGCTAATTAATTTCCTCTGTGCCTGGAGGTGGTGGTAGAAGGTGGAAATGTTTATGTAGTCCTCACTGACTGGATTAATACATGAAATGAAAAGCTCTCATTTTTACATAAACATTGAGATTGCATAAATAGGCAGATAAATTTTTTGCAAGGGGAGAGGAGGAGGAAAAATTCTGATAACAGTGAGAGCCTATTCTTTTTATCAGATTTCCCTGCCTGTTTTGAGCAATTCAAAGCTAAATGAATTCCCAGATATATGTGTTACTCTGCAGACAAATTGTATGTTACACTAAAACAAAAAGCGATTCTCTGGCAACGGATATGCCGCACAAGGTTCAAATCCATGTTCTTGCATAGACAGAAGGATGTCAAATGTTTAGTGGTGCCAGGAATCCAGAGTCCTGAAAGAAGTATTAAATTGGGAATATGGCACCCATACCCTTGTCTGTATGAGAGAGCAGGGAGAGGGCTTTATTGATCCCCCCCTCATTTGCAGCAGAGGGTGGAATGATGTTGGGATGCAGCTGGCTCAATTCCCTTTGTGTTGCCTTGAGAGCTTTAGGAACCGCCTATCCATAGCACGTGAGATTCGAAAGATGGAAATAATGTAGAGGCTTAACAATGGTGCTCCACCTGCTCCTTTAATCTCCCAGGACTGGCTTGCCTGTACAGCCTGCTCCCCAACTATAGTAATCACCAGACTGGATCAGGACCCAGTTTTTATAGGAAAATCACTGGCTGATTATAGATCAGTTTAGCCAGGTGTTAAATGCTGATGAAGTACAGAGACAAAATTCCCGCAAGCAAATATTGATTGCAATGGAAGTGGATTAAAGCTTCAGGACACCCAAATTTGCTTTACTTTGTACTCTGTAATGCACCATATTCTTATCAGAAGTGCTTTATTTTTTATCTTCTATCTAGAAGCACTCTGTAGCAAGGGCTATGTCTCTGTTCACCAGTCAAATCCTAGAGGAGGTCAGTTCCATGATTCACCAAACACAGCAGGGATGGAAAAACCAGCTCCTCCTGGGTATAGCTGAACCACAACTTTTGGAACCAATGGCCATTTATTGTAGTGACTGGGGCTGCTGGTAGTTGGGATTCAGGAACTTTGAGGTTTCTTGCTCCAGGAAAACAGTAACAGGCAGTTGTAACTTCTGCCAAGATGCTATATTGATATAAATACAATAATGGGGAAAAAACCCCAAGCTGAAACATCATTTGAATGAATAAATATTGCAGGTTAGTAAAACTGTGATCCAGATGTTCTTGAACCACAATTCCCTTATTCCTGACTGTTGGTCATACAGGTTAGGTAGGGCTGATAATAACTGCAGCCCCCTAATTTCAGATGGGACTTCATGTAGTTCAAGACTTAAGTGTATCTCAAACTTCAGATAGACTTCATGTAATCCAATCCTTGTATATCTCAAAATGAGGACAGTGGTGTGCTGCTTACAGTTAGCTTCTTTTTTTTTTTTTTATAGACGATACTGACAAAGGCTAAATGAATTCCCAGTGACATCTCATAAACATCACAGCAGGTAAGCTGTAGGCTGCAATTAACATAAATAGCTTAAAGAAGATACACTGACTGAAAGGTAAGAATTCTCTCCTCTATGGCACATTCACATGACATGTCTGGCACTACTTGGTATGAATAAGAGATCTGCCAAAAACAAAACAAAACCCTGAAAACTGGAGGTAGCCAGGCTAGTGGGTATCCTAAACACTTCCAGATTTATCCATTTATCCTAGTTAATAAAATAAAATAAAATCTATTTCCTGGTCTACTTTCAGGAAATGAAAAAGAGACAATTGAGAGAAAAAATGTTGCAAAGCATGTTTCTGCCAGATGCAAAGGGGAAGGGCATTATAATTGTGTTCATGACATACAATTAAATGTCAAGTGCCCACAACATAATTTAAGGGATTGTGAAAACCCAGCCTGCCTTGGGTAAATTGGACTAAGCTAACCATGAGTAAAAACATCGAATAAAAGATCCAGAATTACATGCATGGTAGAATATTGATTTAAGGAGGTCAAAGTGCAGAGGTGAAAACCCATAAAGACACATGTTGAATCTAATACTAAATTATATTAAGCCCCACTGATTTAAATGAAGCAGTAAAGCAGGTGTTCTCTTCTACTCAAAACATCAGGGTCTTTAATATGCTTAACAGCTATTCGATTTAAGTTTAAAGAGATTTGTTTTGGACGATGGATTTTGCATATTTCTTTTTTGAATGGGTTTCACCACTTGGAAACCTGACAACATCTCCAATTTAATGTCCACCCAAAGTGGACTTTGGAATAATACTCTTGGAGCTTGCAGGTCTATTGTGTGATTCTTGTCTTCCTGGTGATGAGAATTATAGTAAAATGGGACAGTTTTTGATTGTGTGTCTTTTGCTGCCCTCTGGTGCTCTAGCCAAATAACAGAGTGAATATGTTGTGTTCAATTGGGAGAAACTTGGGAGAAGAGAACATTTGTAGCTCGGAATTGAAGTGTGGAGTCCTTGGTGCTCTCTGGGTTTGGTTGCTTTCTTGCAGACATTTCATTATACCCAGATTAGATAATATCATCAGTACTTATGTGCTGATCAGAGCATTGATGATGTTATCTAGTTTGGTAATAAAACATCTGCAAGAAAACCTCCATGTTCAGAGAGCACAAAGACCCCACAATTGAGGGGGAAAACTTGTGTTATTGTTTTTTAAAAAATTAGAAATGATACGTTTATATCATTGCAAATGCAAAGGATATTCCCAACTTCATGCACAGCAGAATTATAATCCTGACCAAAAATAAAAATAGGAAAGCTGTTTCTTCCAAGTGAACCAGCAGACACTGCTCCAGAAGTTGTAATATTGTTTCTTTTCCAGTTACCACATCTGCTGTGATTGTCATTGTGGTTCCAGTGACACAACTGCTCCTTCTGCCATCTGTTGCCTTTGTTGTTGTTACACAAAACCAGGGCAAGGCCATCCAGGAGGGACTTTTTAAGTAGCAAGTGTTTCATGAATGTCTGAGTCAACCTAGCAGTTCAATGAGTAGCTATTTATTTGCGTGCAGAATATTTGCTGGCAGCCTCCTCACTCCCCCTGACCTTGGAATTCTTCCCCTCCCTCTGATGTTTTCTTCTCTAGGGCCTTTTGATAATTATGTAATAATTTAATACAATGCTGGGATTATTTTTTTTTTAGCTTTCCTACTGCTGCTTTTGTTCTGCTTTATGGTTCTTTCTATCTGGAATATAGAACTATAATGTTTTAAATATATGTGCTGTAATAGATTTGAGTTTAATCATTTTGACCGTTACTGTAACCTACTTTAGAATTCAAAGGAAACAATAGACCAATATTTCACACTAATATAAATAAATGAAGCTCTTGTGTTAAAGTTTGAGAAGCCGTGTTTGGCATGAGGGAAAGGACAGCATCCTAAAGAGAGAAGTTTGGCAGCCACTTTAAAACACTGACTAAACCTTCATGGATTGCAGCTCACTTCATCAGATGCATTAAGCACAGTATTTCACAGGACAAGAAGGCTGTAATATACAGCTACCTTCCTTGAACCCAACACTCTTCAGAGGGCTGATAGAATAGAATAGAATAGAATAGAATAGAATAGAATAGAATAGAATAGAATAGAATAGAATAGAATAGAAATAGAAATAGAAATAGAAATAGAAATAGAATAGTAATACAATTAGAATAGGAATAGGAATAGGAATAGGAATAGAATAGAATTCTTTATTGGCCAAGTGTGATTGGATACACAAGGAATTTGTCTTCGATGCATAGATTATGCAAATTGAAATTCCAAGTATACAGAGGGATGCAGACTGAATAAAATCCCACAGTACTTGACTGTAGTGCTATTTTCTTCTTCATTACTTGGAGGAAATATTGTGACTTAATTTTCTTTAAGGCAGGCATTGCCAAAAGGATAACCAACTTTTATTTTTAGCCATATGGAAAAACATAGCATTAAGCTATCTCATAGTTTATCAGAGGGCCCTCTATCTTTAAATAGAGGAAATGCAAGCTTTTGCATACCAATAGAAAATAGGTGCCTTGATTACATTTTAATAGCATCATGGTGGTTTCATTTGCATTTCTGCCTGAGGTGCATAAAGATCTTGGTTACTCACTAAATTGAGATAATCTTTAGAGCAGCGGTCACCAAATGGTGGTCCGTGAGAAAATTTTGGTGGTCCACAGAAAAATTATTTGCATTTTTTTATGCTGCACTAAATACTATTTATCTTTTTAAAAAATTCATATTAGTGGTCCGCGGGATTTAAAATTATGAATTTAGTGGTCCCTGAGGTCCAAAAGGTTGGTGACCCCTGCTTTAGAGGAACCTCTGTCTATTTCCCTAGTTTCATTTCCTTTATTGTATTTTTATCTTGTTGTATTTCTGTTTGTTTTGCACTGAGAGCTGCTCAGATTCTTCTGGAGCCTGGAAATTAGATTACATAATAAACGAAGATCGGCATATTTAGCTACCTAGAGGAAGAACCCTCCATCTACATAAGAATAAGTCAAGTGCTCCCAAGTGGACAGGGCAGTACTATCATTCTGCAAATGTGAGTGGATTAATTACTTGGAGATGTTGTGAAACTATGCCCAGGTTCCTCACCTCCAAGATTTGCATAGCCCTGAGTCTGCTGACCTATCAGAAAATATTAAAAACCTGGTTCTTTCCTAAGGTTGAAAGGATGGAGTGTTTTGGGAAACCTGGGTTTGTGTTTTTTGCACTTCCTTGGTGGAGGGGATAATTATTTTTAATCTACCATGGTGTCTTTTATTGCACTTTTTAATATTTTTATATGCAGATTTTTGTTTGTATGCCTAGTTACACCCCCAATTATTTGATTCAGATAGAAAAAAGAAAATATAGGGTAACATGTGTACATATGTATGTACTTGATGGCTTAACACAATCAAAAAGCACAGAGGTCAACAGCTACATCTTTCATTAGTGTTGTTTCAAATAGCTACATTTAAAAGGGCTGTTCTTCCTAAAATGTTAGTTTCGTTTCAAATCTATTTCGTTTTCTACCACTAGGTTTCATAGATTAAAAGAGAATTTTTATACATTAAAAATCTAGGTTTAGGGAAACCAAATAATTAAAAAAAAGCATTAGAGATGCCATCTTTGAAACAATGTTTTGATACCTTTCAATTAAGATAACTTAATTAGGAGTTAACATGTTTAATGGATACAAATTTGTTAACATTTGAATACTTAGCAGGGTAGTACCACTCCTAATATTAAGAAATTACCATCTCAAATTTTACTGAAAGCTTATTACAGACGTTTGGAAAACTAAAATATAATCTGATTTTTCTTCCAATCAATGACTGCTCCCTTTTAAAGCATGCAGATGTTCTTACTCAGAACAACAAAGAGGAAGATAGAGGATTTTATAAATATTAACCTGTGATTATAAACTCTTTCACAACTCAATATATTTAGCAAAATATTTGATTAAAACCTAAATTGGTTTCCAATAACTCAAGTCAATGTAAATCACCTTAAATTACTATTAACAGCATATGGATTATATATGTTTTTAAAAGCACTTCTCTTCAATACTGTCTAAAATTCTTACACGAAGCAAAGCAAAGTCTCCTGAAAGTCTTTAAAAACATGGGGTGAAAATTTGGGGTTGTCTTTGTTGCATTCATATTTTACAGTATTTGCTACTTTTAAATGTTATGAACAAAACATCAAATACTATAGGAGTGTATGTATACATTTGGCCCTATGGTCACATATAATACACATGCATATGATCAGTCCACTCTGGCATATTTATTGGAAAGCAAATCATGCCGATTTCCAAAATGAAAAGATTTGGGGTTGAAACGGGGAGAACACACAGACATCGTAGGTTTTATAGAGGGATCACAGCTGAATGGAGGAAAATTAACTTTGCATCAAAATGCCCACAGTAGACTCTTCTCTAGACTTTGAACCGTTAATTTTTTTCGCTACACCAGAAATTTTAAAAGATGGCTTGTTGAAGTAGCCATAATGACCTGCTTCACCCATCATCGCACTATGCCAAAAACAAAGAAACCACACCACGGTTTAATGCATCGTTAAAACGCAGCCAATGTTTAACCTAATGAATGGCAGTTTCTCCCCTGCAAGCACGGAAGGTTTAGAAGCGGGACTGCGTTTTTAGGATACCGTCGGCAAAAAGAAGCTACGACCCCCCTTGAAAACAACCGGCAATTTGCCTAAAAGCAGGTCCCCGCATTTTCCCCGACTTCTTGATCTTGCGCTGTTGCTGCTTCAGAACGATCCGATTTTTAAAGGCACGTGAACCAGAGGTCTTCGATTTCAGGCAGCGCTTCCCTCTCCCATTCACATCTTTAGGATTGTAGAATTAACTCATTTGGCTTAGGTGGGTTTATAGATTCGATCCGCTTATTGAGAGGTTCGAAGAGCCGGGGGAGCGGGGTCGGCGTGCCCAGCCACAAAAGGGAAAAGACAATCGGGGAGAATCCGAGCACATGGCCGAAAGAAACTCGCTGCGCATTTTTATTCGGGATTTAAATTTCACATACGTTCGTCCGGCGTCCACGCCCAAAGCAAGACACGTGCGGGCGGGTACCGCAAACCGAAGCCAAGCCAGGCTTAAGTTTTAGCGCAAGAACCTCCCACGTCTTTTTTTTTCTTCCTCCGCCCGAGAAGCAAAACAAGGGCGGGCGCGCGCGCGCGGAGTCGGGGAGGGCGCGCGCGCTTTACACTCAGTTGTATGTTTGGAACCCACGCGGCTTCTCCATTCTAGCCGCTCGCACTTTTCATGAATGGGAGCGAGAAGTCGGCAAGGCGCACGCGCCTCCCTGCCCCGGGCCAATCAGAAGCGGCGGCTCTAAGGCCAGTGTTTTGGTCACGTGGGCGTTTGTAGTTGCGGCGTCCCCCCGGCTCTAGTCGGGCGGGCTCTTTTTTTATCGCTCGGCCCGCCCGCCTTGCGGTACCCACCCTTTTCCTCTTCTCTCCCCCCTCCCCTCCGCTACTACTACTACTACTACCCTTCTTTCCACCCCCCCCGGGGGCCCCAGCGCTCTCGGTTGGCCTCGGAGCCGCTGTTGGGCAATGCCGTTCGTGCGCTACCGAAAGGTCGTGATCCTGGGATACCGCTCGGTCGGTGAGTGGCGCTCTGCCCGGCCGGAGGAGGGGTGGTGGTTGTCCGCTGGGCGGGCACCACGTGGCAAGAGGTGCCGGGCGGCTGCTCTCTTGCGAACGGGCTCCCGGAGAGTCGGGTGCAGGGCTGGGAGGACCCGGGCGTGGACTGGGGAGAGTTGGTGGAAGTTCGGGCGGGGAACAAAGTGAGCGCTGTGGAAAAGGGAGCCGGGCGGGCGCGGGCTTTGGGCACACGCCGAAGCGATGCCTGGGAGGAAAAAGGGTGGGGTGGGGTGGGGGGGGGTTGCGCCGTTCCTTGAGCTCAGCAAGTCTGGAAGGCGACGCGCGCGGCGTCTGGGGCTGCCGGGGGTTGCCCGGCGGAGAGGCGGGAGTTTGCAGGCGAGGGAGATGGATGGATGGATGGATGGGAGCCGGGCGAGTGCCAAGAACGCCGGGGAGATTCCCACCTTTGGTTGCCCCGGTTGCTGGGCGCGGCGCGAAGAGCAACGGGTTGCGCGTGTGAAGTCGCGGAAGACGCTAAGCCGGAGGCAACCCTCGCACCTTGGGAGTGGGATCAGGATGCGGCGACTTTGGAGCGCTCTTATTGTTGTCTGGTTGAACTGCGAAGGGGTGGGGGCTCTGGTTGCAAGGGGAGTAATAAAAAGAGTACTGTGCATATCCGAGCATCCATATTTTGGCCGCCACAATAGGGCGTGCTCTTTTGATTTCAGAGAGGTGATTCGGAGACGTTGAAGCCTAGATCGGATAAACCCTCATTAACTTGGCTCTTCTAAATTGCTCAGAATTAATAATACTCGTGGAAAGATCCGGTCAAGTAGGCAGTAGAGCTCTTTGATGAAATGATACTCTTTGACTTAAGGTATAGGTTTAAGTATATATATATAGGCTATGCTCCCTTGCTTGGTGGATTTCCTGTCTCTGAGCTTGAACTTTGTATATAGATAATTTATATCTCTCTGCCGCCCTTGTGCGGATCAGTTGTTAAAAAGGTGGAAATTTGCCTGATGAAAAAGTAGGGGAAAGGTGTAAAAGGTTCCTAACAAAGCCACCGCTGCCCTGCTTTGCATTCTTGGAGAAACCTATAGATAAAGACTTTGGGGGAGGGAGTGGAATTAATTGGGAGGAATGTGACTGAACAATGCACATGCTTGTACCCAGTGCTGCTCTTCTTATTAATGAACAACTTATTTTTAAACATCTCTAGAGATAGATTTTCTGCTCTTCGGGCCAAGGTTTAGCATTAGTAGCACATGAGTAGGCAAAACTTGTAAGTAGTGGGCAGCTATTTCCTGACCTTTACTAGTTTGTCCTCAGGGAGCTATTTGTGCCTACCCAATTCCCAACCCATCTGATCTCCTTCCCCTGAAGAGAAATGCAAGGAGTCACCCGGGCTATGTTTTTTATTAATCCATGTGCAGTGGGAGGAAATGAGTAGAGGGCAAAGGTTATTCATGGGTGTCTGGATAGTGAAATCATTTGTTTCCTTGGATTAAATTTGCAACAGCTTTTCCCCCCTTTTTAAGTGATTATGTGAAAGAGTCATCTGGGTACCTCTAGTATGAAAAGGTGCTTGAAAAGGAGATTTTTGCCCCTCCTGCCCTAATGGATGCCTAACTTATGGACCCTGTTAAAAAGTGATGTGTATATTGAGCTGTAATGTATACACTTGGTTGATTAATCAACCATCTGTGCCTTTGAACAGATCAGAACGGGGACTGAGATATCAGAACTGCTGTTGTGAGTTATTGCAAAAGAAAACGCTTCACATTTGGGCTAAGAATTTGAATTACAAACATATTTAATTGTACATTGGCCCTTTCTGAGGATGCTGTCATGTTTTTGCTAGTTATGTGTATAAGCAGAGATTGATGGAATAAGTATACATCAACTATTGTATGTCTATGTCATGTTTGCTACAGGAGCCCAGGATAGCCCCCCCCCTTTTAAAATAATTTTGTGAAATAAGGTCAGTCTGGAAGACAATATCTGGGTTAAAATAATTCAATAAAGTTCATACCTAAGAAAAAAAATCTCAATTCTTTCTAACTTATAATAATAACATTACTATGCTTATTCTCAAATTTTAGGCAACTCATTAATCATCACTGCAACTGAAAAAAAATGCAAGAGCACAGCATCCTAGCTTGCTGCAGAGTGTAGAGATTTAAAATAATGCACTGATATCCTAAAAGGAAGCATATAATATAAATACTAAGTTTGGTATGGTTAGCTAGAAATTGAATACTCTGATTTCTTTGTATTTTGTACATGCTCCACACATTAAGATGTGCATCTGAGCCAAGTAGCTTAATATGGTAGAGGAACAGGTTGCCAAGAGCAACATTCTAAATTCAGCTGTTGTGAATCTTCCTAAACAGTTCCTTGGCTAAGTGTGACTAAGCTTTGAAAATATACTCGTCTTCTCATGATGGTCTCTTGGTATCTACAGCTGGAAACTGTTGGCTAAATTACAGTGATGGGTAGCAAAACTGTGATCAGCTGTTAGGAGTAGGGAGAGCTGCTGATTTGATTGAGAAGAGGGGCATTGGAATGAATGGGGGTAGAAAAGCCCCCACGGTTATTTCCTGGAAACATTCCCTTAGTGGCTATCCAAACAGACAGGGCTGCTTTAATGAGTCACAAATAAGTTTATGCTCCTTTGGCTTCTGCAGACCTCTAAATCAAATCTGAAGGGCTTGTACTTCTATACAACAGTGACACTGAGGAAGTAATATTGGGATTTACTTTCTTCCTCATCCTTAACCATAAATATAGTCTGAAGACTTATGAATTATGAATGTGTCCTTTGTTGCTAATGTTTTTTTAAAAAATCCTGATCCATGGCAGTTCATGAGCAGACCTTGGATCTTCACCATTACAACCTTATTTAGGTAGAACATTAATTGCCTGAGCTATTTTGTTTGGTGGATTTGCTAGCTGAGGATATTTATTTATTTATTTTATTTTATTTTATTTAAATTTGTATACCGCCCTTCTCCTGGTGGACTCAGGGCGGTGCACAGCCAAGTAAAAAACATCCAATACAAAATTTAAAAATTTAAAAGAATTATACCCTTTGGCCGAAAATTAAGAACCTTACGACTAAAATCCATTAAACAATTAAAAAATCTAATATCTCAAAAACGGGGGGATAAAGCAAAGTTAAGGTAGTTTGTGGTTTAATATCAGATCCTAGCTGTGGTCTTGTGTGAACTAGGATATCATGGTAAGAGAAACCAGGAGTCTGAATTTAGTCCCACCTTAGGCATGAAAGCTGGCTGGGTGACTTGGGCCAGCCATATTCTCTCAATTTAACCCACCTCACAGGATTGTTGTGGGCAAAATAGGAGAAGGAAGAAGTATTAGGAATGTTTGTTGCCTTGGGTTACTTATAAAAGAATAAATGCCTGATAAAAATCTAATAAACAATACCATATAGTGAATTCAGTTGTATTTATTAATCTGGGATTTGAATTTAGCATGCTACATAAACCTGACCTACCTGTATTCACCTATGGTGTGTCCAAAACTAATTTTCCAGTGAGAGAGCAGCACAGACTGCTTAGGTATATTCAAATACAATACTGGTATGAAGCACTGTACACAGTGGTGGGTTGCTACCGTTTCGGCCCGGTTTGGGTGAACCAGTAGTAGTGGCAGCGGGAGGCTCCGCCCACCCACCCGGATGTCATCAAATACACTCTGCGCATGCACAGAAACAAACTGGTAGCAAAGGTAAGTGAAACCCACCATTGACTGTACAGTAGGGTACTTATTTATTACCAAAGAGAGATCAATATTCGAAATATACCCAAGCATATCTCAAAACTGTTCAACATATCCTTCATACTTATTTTGATGTTAAATCTTCCAAGATTAAAGTTCCAAATATAATTCATGATATGACAGGATAGTTTAAATGCTTCCTAAGAGAAATTAGAGGGGAGGATGTTATCAGTCAAAAAATATATCATTATACCCTGTTTCCCCTAAAATAAGACATCCCCTGATAATAAGCCCAATTGGGCTTTTGAGCGCATGCACTAAAATTAAGCCCCTCCCCCCGAAAATAAGCCCGCCCTGAAAATATTTAAACGCATGCGCAGCCGGTCCCTGCCATTTCCTCTGGTTTCCTCCACGTGCCCCAAAATAATAAGACATCCCCGAAAATAAGACCAAGCGCTTATTTCGGGATTCAAAAAAATATAAGACAGGGTCTTATTTTCGGGGAAACACGGTAGATGGTATGAAATTTCAAGTCACTGTGATATTGATGGCTTTCCATTGGAAAAAGAAGTTCCTTACCTTCATTGGGTTGATACAATACAATTATAAGACACAGCTCTATCTTTGATTAAGTTTACTGTAATTTTTTTTTTGCTATGTTGTGAGCCAACCTGAGTCATTGAAGTATGGGTAGCATGCGTGTTTAATAAGATTTACAGTATTTAAAAATCAAATTCAAATTTATTTAGAGTATCAGAAATGAAAAAAGCCCAGAGGTTTGACTGCAGAACTACTATTACTGTAGTTGTCCCAACTATTGTATTCCAGTAGTGTAACTTAGGCCCCGGGAGAAGGAATCACAGTACTTAAAAAATGATAATCAGAAGTCTGTTGTCATTCAGACAATCCCAATAGTTCCAGATCGGTCACCACTTGAACACCCTTGGGGCCCATTTTATCAGATGCAGGCAGTTTGTATCATTTAATAGGTAAAATTGTGTTTATTCCTGTCCTCACTCCTTCACACTTCTGATTTTAAACAATAGGACCACAAAGTCATGAAATTCAAAAGCTGTAGGGTGCAGAGCGAACATGCTTCTAGTAGAGATGTGTTTTTTTTTAAAAAAAAAAAAAGCCTGTTCGTGGCAGACCCTCAAATCTGGTATGGAATGTAAACAATGTTTTATTTAATTCTCCCTTTTGGGTATATTAATCTTAATAATTGCAGTTTTATCCTGTTACCCTGAACAGGGCAGTTTTCATTGCTGTGATCAGGGTGATATAAATGTTTTCTATTGTTTTAAATTATATTCTTCATCGCCAATAAATCTCCACAGCAATAATTCCTTTTGCCATCTTTTCTTTTCAGGTAAGACATCTCTTGCTCACCAGTTCATTGATGGGGAATTTCTGGAATGCTATGACCCCACTGTGGAAAGCAGTAAGTGTGCTATTGCTGTGCTTTTAATAGATATATGTCTCTCCTCTTCTTTACTGGGAAGAAAATATATTGGAGAGAGGTGTAAGGCTTGATCAATAATAATGTTGGCTTATGTAACCTCGATTCCATGCCAAGGAAAGCTGTATTGGCAAGTTTAAAGAAAAGATATTCATGTTAGTGTTGTTTGCTTGAAAGGAAGATGACCCTGATCCCCAAAGGGTTAATAAACAGGGAGAAATACACATATCCTCTGTATGCCCCACTTCCGTTCCTTCTAACCTTACTATTGTCATCTCCAGCTAAATCCAATCCTCAAGATTCCTTCTCCCAGTAAATGGTTCCAGCACACTTACATATGCATATGTACAGATATAAATATGCATGTACAGTATATCTGTATCTGTCAGCATCTGTTCTTCATAAATGAAAGCCGGGATTCAAAATAAGTATAGATACAGTGAATTAACAATTCTTTAATTGTTTATAAAATAAGATGTCCCAATTATAAAGTTGATTGTGGGATCTCCTTCCAGCTGAGACCGTAAACGAAGTAAAACATCCTGAGATGGGATAAGAGAAGAGATATAGTGGTTTGGCAAAGGGAAGGGGAAAAATGCATATGAGTGGAGATGAAAGGAAAACCAGTGGTAGTGAACAAGAGAAAAGAAAAAATGAGAAGCCCTGTTTATGTCTTACACAAAAAAAATTCACAATGGAACCCCTCCCAAGGTTTTATATTCAAACTATGTATACTACTTATATCCGGGCTTTTCAGCACCAGAGTCTGTAGCCACTTACACCTCTACCCATTCATACCACATCTTCCTTCTATTGATTGCAGGGAATTTTCCTGGTCTGTCTTGCAATTCGCAGGACAAAAGTTTCCAGAGCTGCAGGTTCTGCAGATGATGAGTTCATGATGTTTTGACGTGGTTTAAAGCAAAAAATATGTTTAGAGCATTTAAGAATGATGGAGATGCATTTTTTTTTTTTTTTTGGTCTTTCCAATCTCCCTTAAGAATACCCAACCATCTCAGAATGCCGCATAATACTGTAATGGCAACTGTTATCATATTCCATGACTGTTCCTATTACAATTAGAAATTGTGATTCATACTATTAAAGTAACTTTCCATAACTGGATGCCTTCCAGATGTGTTGGAAGTATAGATCCCAGATTTCCAGGTGGCTGGGACTATGGAAGGGAGACTTGGGGAAGACCATGATGGGATATTTAAAAGGAGGGCAGCTTTTGTTTAGTCATTCAGACATTATTTCATTGAGCAGGAATTACTGTCTGGGCCTGTATTCATTAACTTGGAAGTAAGCAGAGTGAACCTAGTGGCCTAGGACAGCCGATGTATGCTCAAGTAAGATGTCTTCAAAAGAGAGATCAAAATGCATTCTCTTAATCTGTTGGGGACAGTCTGGTACTGATCACTGAGAAATAGCACATGTTCTATCCTTTTATTCTTCCGCCAAGTAAAGGTGAAATATACTTACCTTCCCCACTGGTTCGGAAGTGCACGCGCCATTCGCAGTCGCTCTGCTCGAGCGCATGCGCGTGGACCCTCTGTGCATGCGCAAACCCTTTGGTGCATGCACAGAGAGTAAAAAACAGGTTACTTTCTGGTTAAAATCAGGAAGTAACATCAACTAGGTAGGCGGGCGGAGCCTCGCGTTGCCATTTCTACTGGTTCTCCAAACCACCCGTCGCCATCGCTACCGGTTCGGCCTAACTGGTCCGAACTGGTAGCATTTCGCCCCTGCCGCCAAGCCCCCCTGCATCTTCCAGATGTTTAAGTTCTTAGAGTCCAGTACATAGGAAAGAAGAACCTTTTCTCTTCCTGCCCGATCAAAACATAACATTACAGACATGTTGACTTAAGCACAGTTCTGAGTATGAACTAATTTTGATTGCTGAGACTAAAAAATCAGAAAAAAAAATAAGTCTTTTTGGAACAGAGTGTTAAAACATTTCTGAGTATTTGTTTTCTTTCGATTAACAAAGATTCAGTAGTACCTCTGCACTCATTTCCTGCTTTGCCACAAACCTTTTCCCCTGCACACCAGTCCTTTCCTGTTTTTGTAGGGGGTTGCCCTTCCCGCCCATTTTATTCAAAGAACAAATTTAGATGGTTAGAAAGCAGGTTTGCTTATAAATCTGTTGTTCTGCCTGCAGAAATAGTTAATTTAGTTTCTCGAGGCTTAAGGCAACAATCACACGTGGAAAGGGGAAGGTTTAACTAATGAAAGCGTTTACTGGAGCACAGCTAATTTAGCAATAAATTGTTAAAAGAATCGTTGCGTGTATACATTTGCCCAATAATTTCTCATAAATTGAACATTATTTATACATATACATTATATCAGGGATATAATAAAAGCATTCTTCAGTTCCATTAGCTGCCTCTCCACTGAATAGAGCACCACATTGTAATTTTGTTCCTCTGCTTCCTATAAACAATACGTTTACCCAAGTTTGCAATACCTGTTGCATTACAGTAGCTCCTCCAAACCCTTGAGTATGTCACTCAAGCCCCTTTAATTTTAATTAAATGGGACACCCTCTGGAGTCTGGAGGTGCTAGACAATTGCCCCATCATTTCACTGTGCCACCAGAATGTGTGGACTTTCTTCCTTGCCGATATAAATTCTTACAGCTGACAAATTGTCATGTCGGTTTCTGCTGAAGATTTATTGCAATTGCTTTGCCAATTTTGGAAACATCAGCTACAACTAAACGTAGCTGATTTCTACCATACTTTGCAAACAATAACTGCAGGACAATTGCTTTGGCAGGTGAAACAGCAAGAGGTATTAACAAAACACTCTTAATTGTTGTTTGTTTGTTTGTTTGCTTGCTTGCTTGCTTGCTTGTTTGCTGTCTTTTGAGTGCCTCTGTTGGATGAGAGATTTCCTTCCAATGGGCCTCATTGGAAGAAAGTGCTGCTAGCTTCCCCCAGTCTGATATTGGTTGTAGAAAACAGAATCAGCGCAGACCTTGGGGAAGGAAAAAGCTGTCAAGCCTACAGGTAGTCTTCGACTTATGACCAAAATTGGGACTCGAATCTCAATTGTTGAGTGAAGTGGTCATTAAGTGAGACATTCATGTGACCATTTCACTCAACCGCAATCATAGCTCTCCCAGTTGTGGTTGTAAAGTGGAGCAGAGGGTTCCCTCGAGCTGGAGGAGGCCCTGGTGACCCCAACCTGTTCCCTGACCCACAAGGCCCTGGAAGAATCAGCCAATTACAAGATACAAGACTCATCAAATTGTGAAAAACTGCTATGAAGCAAGAGAGACTTCCACCGGTTACGGCCTCATTAGTGTACAAAGGTTTTCCATGGGCTGGGAGACCTTGGCTGTTTACCAGGGTGTGCTGGTATGTGCAAAGATGCCACAGACCAGGCTGGCTTTAGGACCCAGCAATGTGCGTAAATTGCTCCACTTAAATTTGTGTTGTTCTCTAATTGCTGTTGCGTGCACGCAGATGATGCTAGGCACAACCTTCCTCCAAAAGCCATCTCATGCTATTCTGCAGCTGGGTGCCATTCTTGCAATTATTTGGAAAGCTCTTCCAATTTACACAGGTTGCTTGGACCTGTAACTCTACAAAGCATTCCAAGTGTAACTGAGTGGAGAGCGTGATCTTAAGTCCCATTTCTGCACCCTAAAGGAGGAGTTCAGCTTCCCTTCGTGCACGGAAGGGAACCCCTTCTGCCAGGTGCAGAAATGGAGCTGCAATCTTCATGATTTAAGGATATCGGCTCCCCTCGTCTGGCAGTTCTTGCATCTAATCCCCAGGGAGTTCTCTCAGCAGGTGGCAGCAGCTTGTAACCTTCTCTGCTGGCTTCTCCATTAACCTTTTGGGGAAGCCGGCAGGGAAGATTGTAAATGACAATCACATGATTGTGGATGGCAACCGGCCATAAGTGCGAACAGGTCACCAAGTGCTTGAAATGTGGTCATGTGACCATAAGTAGGATGTATAACATTTTATGATAGAAGTGCCTTTATAAAGCACCCCTCCTGAGGCCATCATAACTTCAAACAATTATTAAACAATCAAGGAAGATGGTTTGCTTAAGAAGAAATTTTAAATGTTTTAATTGGTTTGTATTTTTAATTTTGGGCCAAATTTATATATATTTTAATTGTTTTTTAATATTTGTATTTCATGTTTTTTAATTCTGGCTGTACACCGCCCTGAGTCCTCAGGGAGAAGGGCGGTATATAAATTTAAAAATAAAAAAATAAAATAAAAAAGGAACCACCAAGAACACTCCCACCAACATTGATAGGGTAAACAGCTAGTAGGCGAAAATGAGAACAAACACCACTCCCTTCTAGCACTGATGATGTTACCTAGTTTGGTAATGAAACATCTGAGAGAAAACCACCACGCTCAGAGAGTACCAAGGACCCCACAGATTGCTAAACAACTGGTCATAAGTCAAGGACTACCTGTAGTTCAAGGCCAAGGCTGGCTCTGACCGAAGAAAAAACAGAGAACAAAATCAAAATGACTCGAGGGCAGAGAAACTCAGGATGTTGCTGGATTTTAGGAAGGAATCTGAGAGGCTCAAGTAACATCTGTATCATCTACTTTCTTCCTTCTCTTTTGTTTTAAGCTTACAACAAAATGTTGATGGTGGGAAAAGATGAATTCCACTTGCAGCTTGTGGACACTGCGGGACAGGTAATTTCTTTTTTTCCCCATCATTTCACATACAAATGGGAGTATGGCCTTCTCTGCTCATCATCTGTCACAAGAGATAAAACGGCTTGCATCTTAATGTGCTGGCTTGGGAGTTGTAGTTGGGGTGGGTGGTGGATGATGTCTCTTTAGGATTCATCAATCTGAACTTCGCTAATGTCCCTTGAGTGTCAAGAAATCACCCCAGAGCTTCAATATCCGTTGACTTAAAACTCCGCTTTCACAAACTACTTATTCAGAAAAGCATATATGCACTTGGCATTAGAAATGATCTGTTCCTGAATTAAAAATTCCCCCTAATTGGTATCTTTCACCAATCTCTTAGAGCAGGGGAACCAATTTTTTTTGGCCCTAGAGACTGGTTTTGTGGAAGACAATTTTTTCCGTGCACTGGGAGGGAGGGAGATGGTTTCGGTTTCGGTTTCAGTTGCTTGCCCACCATTCACTTATAGCTGTGCACCCCAATTCCTAACAGGGATCGAGGGCCCTGTCATAGAGTGATAGAGACTTTTCTTCTGGTTTTTTTTTTTGTCCAGGATGAATACACTATCTTGCCTCACTCGTTTATCATTGGCATCCATGGCTACGTGCTGGTCTATTCTGTCACTTCTCTCAGAAGGTAAGAGGGCACAGATAGAGCCTGATTACAAGGCAGTTGGACAATGAGGTCCTGATGAAAACAAGGGAATTGCCCTGTGGTGTGTTGCTCCCGATTCGGTCTGGTTCTATAGAACCGGCAGTAAAACTGGCAGGAGGCTCCACCTACCTGCCATGACGTCATCATGGGTGATCTGTGCATGCGCAGAAGCGCGCACACTCCCGTTGCAAACTGGTAGTAAAGATAAATAGAACCCACCCCTGGAATTGCCTGAATTCTGTAAGGGTCTTGAAACAATGAAGTCCTTCCCTTAATACAGATAGTCCTTGGTTTATAACCATTGGTTTAGTGCTTGTTCAAAATTACAAGGGCACTGAAAAAAGTGACTTATGACCATTTTTCACACTTATGACATCCCCATACTCAGATGATCAAAATTTGGACTCTTGGCAAATAGCATGTATTTATGATGGTTGCATTGCCCCGTGGTCATGGGATCACCCTTTGCGACCTCCTGACAAATAAACTTGATGGGGGAAGCCAAATGCATTCAACAGCCGTGTTACTAACTTAACAACTCTGGCAAGAAGTCGTAAAATGGGTCGAAACTCATTTAACAACTATCTTGCTTAGCAACGGGAATTTTGGGCCCAGTTGTCGTGAGTTGAAGACTACCTGTATTTGCAAGATCACAAAAATGGATTTGGGAAAGACATTAAAGGCTTGGAACAATAGCCTTATTAGTCTCTCTAAGCCCTGGTTTGTCTTAACTGGAATACTGTCTTCATATACCATCCTGTCTTGTTTTTTAGTCACCTTGAAATGCTTGTTTAGCATTTTGTTTTGTATTCTTTTAATCAAAAGCATTCAGATACACACTATATTTTTCTGGTGAATGGCTTCCTATCTTTAAGGGGCATTTTGGGGATAATGTTTTAAAACGTTTTCTAGCAATCCTTGGCTCACACTAAAGATATAATCTTCTTTCTTGCCTTTCCCAGTTTTCAGGTGGTGAAGTCCCTGCACAGCAAGTTACACGAAAGCAGAGGGAAGACAAGGTAAACATTAACATGGCAGGTCAGGAAGGAATGCAACACTTAGGGCAAGATGTTCAAGCATATTACTAGGGAACTCTTCCCTGAAAGGATGGGGTAGGGAAGGATTCAGTGGCTTACCATATCTGTGTAAACATTGGGAAATGTTAACCAGTGTACTCCAAATTCTCTCCCAGAAATAGATTCCAGGCTGAACAACATTAGTACAATAAGCCACCTCTATCTAAATGATGACATTTTTTAGGTTTACAAAAAAACCACAAAGGTTTTGCCTAGAATGTAGTGATACCAATAGATAACTGGATTCCTCTGAGCATGTTTAGACAGCATTTCTCTCTCTGGTGCAGGGGTGTCAAACTTGCGTCGTCACGGCATCGTCACTTGACGTATCAGCACTTTCCCCCCCCTTCGCTAAACCTGGCGGGGGTGGGGCCAGCACGTGACACAACCAGCCTGTGGGCCGCGAGTTTGACAGCTCTGTGCTAGTGTTTCAGAACCTCTGCAAATTGCAGATGCATGAACTTCAACTTCCAAAATTCCCCAGGCAGCCTGCTAGCGGGGGAATTCTGGGAGCTAAAGTCTGCATGTCTTATAACGTGCAGAGGTTGTGAAACATTAAACCAGGGAGTAAGCGTAGAACATGTAACATGACGGGTGTATTTTTTAAAAGTATTTTCATTTAAGGTATAGGAAAGGATTTATTGGAAAATGGAGATTTTCCTCAACTTACAATCATTTCGTTTAAATGTCTAAGGAGATTCTCAGTCATCCAGGTGATGGTTGTCCCAAAGGTGCTTTTTCAAGAGGCAACTGGACTTTCTGGTTTTTCTTTGAAGATGTTTAACTTCTCATCCAAGAGCTGAAGAAGCTTCTTGGATGAGAAGCGAAACTTCTTCAAAGAAAAACCATAAAGTCCAGTTGCCTCTTGAAAAAAAGCACCTTTGGGACAATCATCCATTTAGTGACAGTTTGATGTTACAACTGGACTGGAACAAGTGACTTACAATCTGTTCTTGCCCCTCCCCACACAATCAGAATTTGGGCACTTGGCAACCTGCATATGTATTTTAAGATGGTTGTAATGTCCTGGGTCCATGTGATCCCCGTTTGTGACTTTCTCAGTCTGCCTCTGATAAGCATAGGAGGTTGTGGGGAGCCGGATTTGCTTAATGACCATATGATTAATTTAACAATAGGAGTGATTCATTTAACCACTTTGGCTGAAAAATGACAAAATCTGGTGCAACTCAGTTAACAACAGCCTTGGTTAGCAACAGAAATTTGGGCTCCAATTGTGGTAGTAAGCCGAGGACTACCTATACCTTCAATTGCAGCTCCATGCAAGGAAAGGTATACCTGCGACCAAAAATTCAGAACTATCCCAGCCAAAGGCAGAATTGTTGCGTTAAATTGCAAGCGAACAACCCCCCTTAGATGGAACTATGGAAGTTGTGGGTGAAGCAGGATGACTTCTCTGTTTAGCATTACAAGAAGCAACTTTTAGAAATGTTCTTCCTTTGTTTGGCAGGATGCCTGTAGTGCTTGTTGGCAATAAAGCTGATCTGTCATTAGAAAGGTAAGAACTTTTGTCTATTGCTTAAAAAATGATAGCTGAGAAATAAGAATAGAGATAGTTTCAGTCTCTTCAAAAGATTGGCTGTAATCACAGAATCATTTTTCTTTCTATAAAGGAGTCTGAGCTTTAGAATCAGAGCAGACAGCCTCTGTGGCTGGAAGAATTTTGGAAGTTTTGGAGCATGTTTGCAAAATAATTGCAATGCACAGGAACGGGGGTGGGGTGATTTAGTTTTAGTTACTTATTCCTAAATGGGCTTCCTTCTTACATTCCCTCACCTCTAATCCCTCCTGGCATTTTTTTAAAAGCAAGCTTAGAACAAAGGTTGTCACTGCCTTCTCTCAGGATGTGCTTTGATTTCCTTATAATCTTTTTCTCAAATTAGTTTTCACATACTTTCTTTCGACTGACATTCCTGGGTAGAAATGTTTTCTCTCTGCTTTTATGAATAGCACACTGTATGTACCAATGGCTGCATCCACATTCCTGCCATTCCAAAGAAGAATTTTATCTTAATTGGCCCCTTCTGTAAATAATAATAAACTCTGATGGATCGTGCTCTAGGGATAGGGCTGTGTGTTTCTGAAAAGTTTATCTACATCAAATCTTGACTCTCGAGAAAAAATTTAGATATATTGTTTTTTTAAATTTTTGTTTTATTCAGAGAGTTAAGGTAAACTACAAACTAAAAAAAAGAAAAATAAATTTTAACAAAACAAAACAAAAATAGTCAAAATATTAAAAAGAAAACATGCATTAAAAGGCAGAAACACACACATACATTATGTATATTACCCACTCTAGTAGAATACTGATAAATATATTGCAACAATATTAGTTTCCCCCATCCCTTAGGAAGGAAGCCCAAAATGTATAAACTTCTACATTTATTTGCAACCAATTTGACCTGTCATCTATCTGCTATGTATAAAAACAAACTGGTTAACAGGTGAACCAACAGCAAAGTTAAACTTCAAAGCCCTCTGTTGACAATCTGTTATTGTATTTAACTCTCAGTGGCTTCTTATCTACCATAAATCACCACAGTCACTATCTCTGCATTGTTTTTAACTCAATTCTTATGGATGTTTGAAAATTAGCATTGAGTGAAAGAATAGGACTTGGGTGTTTACAAACTCCCTTATGCTGAATAGAAAATAGCGTAGGGAAGTCCTGCTGTAGTGTTGATCTGTTATGATCTTTATGCCGTGATTCTTTTTAATTAAATTTTAACAAACAATATCAGGTAACTAAAAAGGTAAAAGTAAAGGTTTCCCTTAGCCAGTCATGTCTGACTCTAAGGGGTGGCACTCATCTCCATTTCCTAGCCAAGGGAGCCAGCATTGTCCGAAGACACTTCCATGGTCATGTCACCAACATGATTGGGACACAGATGTTAACATAAATCCAAGATATATACAGAGAAGAAAACAAGCAAGGAAAAAAATACAGAAAATACAAAAGAAATCTACTGCAATGAGAATAAAGGGACAGCTATTGTACATGTGCAAATTTCCTATATACTGTATACTGTATATCAGATTGTAACCTACTGCTATTGTGGTTTTAATATATATGTCCACAAAAATTATAGAGTTGTCTTTGGCGAGATGGGCACCATATAAGTTTGATAAATAAATAGGAAAAAAAAAACAAGAAACCCGAAGTTGACTGCAATATGACAGTATCCCGTCTTGGTGAGTTTTTGTTTTGTTTTTTAATTACTCCTTTATTTTTAGTCGTCAGGTAAAGACGGATGAAGGCCGGAAACTTGCTGATTCATGGGGTGCTGTATTCTTGGAATCCTCAGCAAAAGAAAACCAGGTATGACTCTGATTTCATGTAAATTAAAGGGATGGGGAATAAGATCTAAAAGCCATTTTGTTATATTCTTTAGTAATTATTTCGCCAATCAAAGGTCCTCTAATGGAGAAAGGAGTGAGATTGCTCTTCATTTGTCTCCTTAAAATAGGAGGGAAACCTAGACTTCTGCTGTACCAAAATACAGCAATAGAGTACCAGTCAATGTGACAAGGGGTCAGTAATGTTATGACTATTGTGGTTAAGGCACCAGGCTAGAAACCGGGAGATGGTGAGTTCTAATCCTGCCTTAGCCATGAAAGCCGGTTCTTTGGGCCAGTCACTCTCTCTCAACCCAACTTATCTCACAGTGTTGTTGTTGTGGGGAAAACAAGAGAAGGGAGTCCCAAAGGTGCTTTTTTAAAGAGGCAACTGGACTTTCTTGTTTGGACTGGACCACTTCATAAATGCATGGCACAACAGAGGAGAACAAACCCCTCAGGAGAAGATTCAGCAGTCCGTTTGCATTTAAAAGACAAAGGCCACTCTCTTGAAGACAGCAAAGTCTACATTTTGGACAGAGAGGACCGCTGGTTTGAAAGAATGGTCAAAGAGGCCATCTGTGTCAAAATTGAACAGTCCTCTCTCAACATATCTATCTCCAGTCTACAACACAGTTCTTTTCAACAGTTCCAAGAAGGCTTCACACCTTGACACCCATTTGCATTATTCAGATGACTCTGAGGACACAGATAGCCTCAAAGACTCTCTAAAAGAATGGAAATGACCAGCTGTCTGCAAGGACTATAAATCCTTCCATTCCCCACCATCCAGTCAGAACTGAAGAAGCTTCTTGGAAGAGAAGCGAAAGGTCTTCAAAGAAAAACCACAAAGTCTGGTTGCCTCTTGAAAAAAGCACCTTTGGGACAACCATGACCTGGATGACTGAGAATCTCCAGAGACAGGAGGAGGGAGGTATGCTGGATATGTTTGCCACCTTAAGTTATTGGTAAAAACAACAAAGACGGGATACAAATAAATAAAAAGTTCTCTGCTGCTTCTTAAACCCAGTTGTAAACTTTTCTTTTGGAGTGACTCTGACACCAACTTTCTTCCCTGCAGATGACTCAAGGTATCTTCACAAAGGTCATTGAAGAAATTGATCGTGTGGACAATTCCTATGGTGAACAGCGCAATTGCACCATAATGTGATGCTGCTTTCCCCATCTGATGCTGCTCGAGCAGTGGGCAGGTGGGGGTAAAGCACAGACCGAGGCCAATTCAGGGCAGGTGTTGTGGCTACCTAGAACCCTGGTCAGCAGGCCTGAACCAACTTACGGGTAACTCACACACAGATACAATTATACCTCATCACTGGTCCTCCATGGGAGGCGGCCATGTTTTGCACATTAGTTTGCTGGAAGCAATCCATGTATGTATTTCCTGTACATATATGTATGTGTGTGTGTGTGTGTGTGTGTGTGTGTATAACGTATTGCCAAATGTTTACAGAAATGGGAGCCACAATAGGATCTAGTTATGATTTGTTATATAGGGACTCGTCTGTGTATTTATAACAGAATTTACAATCAGCTCACCCGTTTACAAAAGGAACTGTTCACAACTCAATGTAACAGAGAGGCAGCTGAATGTAACATTTTCCAAGTGGGATCTGCTAAAGAACCAGTACTTTTGTTTTGATAGTTTTGTTTTGGTGATCGCTGAGCCTTGGACCCAGATGCGTACGTCAGTTTTCAGTTGTAGCTCTTGCAACACGTGGCCTTATATTTTTTTAATCAGGGTGAAATTTCATGCCGCTGCCTAGATCCAAAGTTGGGTTTTTCTTTGCTGGAAATCAATGTGGCTGAGGTCTTAGCGGTGCTTAGTCAACTTTTCTTTGGTTATATGTAAATAAATATAAACTTCATTAAGAACGATATTTTTTGTGGAGGACGAGAGAACCTTTCATTACATTTCAGTGCGTTAAACACTGTCCTAATTGCATTGAGCCTCTTTGTATAGCAGCTATCTAGTTTGGCTTAATAGTATATATATATATTTTAAAAAAGCAATACAAAATGGATGCGCCCAAGCTTAACAAATGCTTCTATGTCTTGCCTGTAATTGTGGCCTCTTTTTGGAGGCTTTATGAAATGCTGCAAAGGAGTTTGTAAGGCGGTAGCTGTAAAAGGGACTGTAAAAGTTGCAGCAGCGTTTCTCAAAACTTGGCATCATTAAGATGGGGAATTTTGCAGTTGAAAAACACACATCTTAAAATTGCCAAGTTTGAGAAATGCTGAGTTACAGGATAGAATTATATATTTCATTGTTCTTTGGTGGGGAAAAACTGGAAAGGGAGGCAGCTTTCATGAATATTTCTCTATAAAATCCTGTGAAACGCTGCATGATCATGCTGAGGGTGCAGAAGCAAAGCTAAGAAGGAGTAATTTGAACTGAAAAGTAACAGTTTTTGACTTCCCTTTTGCGAAGCTGCCTTTTGCCTTGAATTAGGCATGTTAGCTTAATATTGTGACATACATACACAGGTGTGTGTGTTTGTGTAGATAGATATAAGAATGAAAAAACGAAGCTTTTTAAGTGGTTTCTTGTTGTCTAAGACAGGGGTCTCCAACCTTGGCAATTTTAAGACTGGCAGATTTCAACTCCCAGAATTCCCCAGCTGGCTGGGGAATTCTGGGAGTTGAAGTCCGCCAGGCTTAAAGTTGCCAAGGTTGGAGACCCCTGGTCTAGGAAATGGCCAGTCTCTCTGTTGATCACATGCTTAGTCTGAGCCTAAACAGCATCCCTGTGATTTTCCTTTGGTGTCTTTGGTTGACTCGGGCACATTGAAGCACTGCATTGAATGCTGGGAATGGGATTCCAGATAAAACTGAGCTTTGGACACTGAAGGGAATGAGGGTACCTAAGCTTCATGGACTGCAGGGTGGTGAGCCTTTGGAAACGAGCTCTCCAGTGAAGCACAATAAACTTTAATCTAGAAAAAGTGGGGAGAGAATTGCTTTGATGTTGCGCAAGGTTACGTGCATCTTAGCAGCCATAGTCTGATCAAAAGCACATCTTATATTTTCATAGTTCTTCCTGCCAAAAAGCTGGCACTCTGTGCTGAGGGGACTTGAACCTTTGGCCATCCTCACCTTTTTCTGCAGTCCCTACAAAGCTATTTTCCAGATGAATTTTTTTTTTTTTAATTTGTTGTGCCAGTGCATATGTTCGTTTCGGAGATGCTGTTTTTCGGAAAAAGCTTCTGCCTTTTAAAGAATGCAAGGCCACTAGGAATGCTTTTATGTATTCAGAATGAAATTGGATGCATGGATAGGGAAAGGAATGGATGGATATGAGATTATTGTTGAAAATCCCAGTTTGGGAGGAATAGTCTCCTTGTACATTATCTTCCGTTGTAAAAATTGCTTTTTTGAATGAGTGCTTTGAGCCAATAGATTTATTGCTCTCAGAATGAATCCACCTGATCCCTGTACTTGGTAGATGGCCATTTCATAAGGAATTTCTTTTGCATTTTATTGGGACTTTCAGGAATTACTGTTTCTGTGTGTTGTTGCTCCATTTGTACAGTGCTGACTATTTTCCCCAGAACTTGTTTTGTATTCTAAAAACCTTAACTTCAGATTTCTTCCCTTCCCCTGTTAGGAATCAATGTGACTATTATTGCTAGCCCTAGAGGGAAATGTATGCAACTTTGTCCACATCTTTGTTGTCTCCTGATTCTTTTTCGACAGACTACAGCTAGGGTTGAAATATCTCACCTATCTTATTCTCTGGATCCTGCAGCGTTTCCCCCATTAAACCAGATGGCGATGTAGTATCTCAACAAACCCCTGTATTATTGTATATATTATTGGATAGAAAAGTAGCAATCTGGCTGCCAGTTTAAGTAGGAAGAGAGTTGTGGATTTCCATGCCAAAATATCTCAAATCGCATTGCAATAAACTAAAATAAACTGGCAAATTCTTTTCATGGAACAGAGAGAAGGCACTTCTTGGCCAGATTTAGGATTTCTAATTAACAATGAACTTTCCAAACGAGGCTTCGTTTTCCAGGAGCTGAGTTTTGAGTTTAATTTTCCTTGCACCCATGAAGCCTTGCTTTCAAATTGTGAGTCAACTAAGGAGAGGGATGGGAGGTAAGCAATAAGCAGGGTGAGGGGGGGGGGAAACGGGTGTTACCAAATCCAGGTTCTGCCATTCAGAATGTTGGCCGGTTTTGCCAGCCAGCAGCTTTCTCAAGGATTTGGATGCTGAGGGCTTCTTTCCAGCAATATCACCCACTTGGAAAGTCTAGTTCAGGGCCCAGAGGAGATGTTTAAAATAGTTCAGGCTGCCTCTATAAGCTCACTTAGTTGTGGAGTGCTTCCATTGCCCATTTGAAGAGGTGTATGGTACAACTCTGTTACACAAGTTACATGGTTGCTTGCCTTCTTTGGAGGAAGCCCTGAACGGGGTGAACTTCAGCTCTTTATCTGCCCTAGAAACTAGTGTTACAAAACTGTCATGCTTTTGAATGCCAGTTCCCTTGGGGCTGTTTTAATGAAGAAAATGTAGAGTATGTTTCCTATGAAATAACTGTTAATGCTAGCTGTGAATTACAGCGTTATCAGCAAACCTGAAATTTACACAGTTGGGAAAGGCTGTGTCACATGGGTATCTATACCTCTTTCACTGCCATGTCCTGTATACTCGTGATTAACAGGAGTGCATCGTACAAGATTGAATTTGATAAATCCACGTGTTTCTTTCTGAATCTAGTCAGTTTTGCGTCAGTGAAAGGCACCCTTGTAGGTGTTCTTATGACTGGTAAGATATGGCTCTTCAAATGGCTGCCATGCAGGCCTGCTCAGTTCCCTGGCCCAATCGGAGTTACTGTACGATGTAATCTAGCATCTCTTTCTGTAAAGGTGGAACTATATTTTTGTTTTGCAAATCAGTATGAGGCTTAGGTTGCATTGTAAGAAGCATTTTGGAAATAAAGATGATGCCAGAGCTTGTGTCTTGCTTTACACCGTGTCGGCTTTCCATTTTACCTTGTCCCACTGTGTAAATACTCTATTAAACCAAATCAAGATTTTAAATGAGATTTCTGTATTGAAATCAAGAATATGATTTGGGTAGGGGGGTGGGATGGCATTAGACAATAGAAAAAGGACCGGGAGGGAGTTTCCATGCTTTGCTTTGTTTCTGTAATTAAACTGTTGTTTTCCCTAATGGCTTCAGCCTCCTAATTAAGGCTGCCTGTACATTCTGATTTATGTATATAAAAGGAGGAGGAAAAACTTTCAAAACGGCTTAAGGTTGCAAGGATTAAATTTGCACATTATACGTGTGTAACATGTACATGTAACCATGTTTTAACAAGACACACCATATGGCTTATGGGTTTAACAAGCCCCACAATTTAACAAGAGACACACTATAGGTTAGCACAATATGTGGGCCAGGGCATTGACACTACCTGACTTTGTTGGACATTGCAAAGGAGGTTTTCTTTACCATCGTGAGAACTGGAAGAAGCAACTTGAGCTTGATGATTTCTATGAACATCCAGCTAAATGCCTAGTTTTGGTATCTCACCGTTAATGTGAGCATGGCCTAGAGCCGTGATGGTGAACCTATGGCACACATGCCAGAGGTGGCACGCAGCGCCTTCTCTGAGGGCACGCGAGCCGTCGCCTCAGTTCAGCTCTGCTGTGCATGCACCTCCCACCAGCCAGCTGGTCTTCGGGTCTCTGCTGTGCATGCATGGGGGGTGCGGGGGTGCATGAAAGGGGGTGTGTGAGCAGGCAGGGGTGCTTGCATGGGGGGGTGAATGTGCAGGGGCACACACGCATTGCATTTTGGGGCTTTGGGGGGCACGTGCATGTACATTTGCGTGTTTTGGGCACTCAGTCCGGAAAAGGTTAGCCATCACTGGCCTAGAGATATCCAGATTTGGCAACTTTAAGACCTATGGACTTTAAGTTGAATTCCTCAGCCAACCATGCTGTGAGAGTTGAGGTCCACAGGTCTTAAAATCGCCAAGATTGGATACCCTTGACCTATATGATCAATAGCTTCCTGCCTATTTTAGCCATGGCACACCAAGCCTGTGTCTAGTGGAAAACACAAACACAAATGCACCTCTACTTTTTACCAGCTGTGTTGCCAATGATCTATCTTGCTGAGCACCCAAAATTGAAGTAGCTTTGGGTTCCAGGCATCGTTGGTACTTGCTATGCTTTTTCCTGTTGCCAAGGGTAAAACTAATTTGGTGCTCATTGCGTCAATTACGTTATTAGCAACACAGGAGAAGTATTGAGCTATTGCCATCCTGGTTTTGACTTGCTTTGAGGCAGCATCAACAGTCTGAAAGAATTCCCTGGGAACCAGCCTCATCTTTCCCATATCTGACCCAAAGAGCTATGGGAGAGTTGATTACAGCCATCCATTTCAGGGATGGTGAACTCCCTCTCTTTCCCTGACATCTTCCTTATGCATTAGGCTGTGCTTGCTGCACTCCGTGTTAAGTCAGGGGATAGCTTGTGCTCTCCAATAAATCAGGACACCAATGCTGACAGCTATTCTTCTGGGTCAAGAGGGGGCAACTGGTAACCCTCCAGATGGCTGAATTATAATTGCCAGCATTCCTCTCCATTGGCCCTGCTGGGAGTAGTACTTTAGCATCTGGAGGTCGCCAGGTCTTGCACTGTTTTGGATTTGGATATTTCTCAAGGACTATGGTGGTCTACTATCATGCCAGGAATTAGAGTTTAGGGCACAGGGATGCAAAATAGGGATAGTTTCATTCTAAAGCAGGGGTGTCAAACTCACGTCATCATGTCATCATGTGACGTATCGCAACTTTTCCCCTTCACTAAAATGGGGGTGGGGGTGGCCAGTGCGTGACGCATCTGGGCTATGGGTTGCAAGTTTGACACCCCAGTTCTAGAGAGAGAGCAGCCATAGTAAAATAGGGAAAAGGTGCTTTGGGATGATACAAGACAGAGCAAGGCATGTCACATACCTTTCTCTGTATCACTAAGGGCTGGAGAATACTTTCCTTGTATGGCAGTTTTCATTATCAAATCTGTGTTTGTATATGGAGAAATTATTTCGGTCCACTAAATGTACTGGATCTTTACTTCCTGGAACCGTGATGCTCTTCTATAATTCTGGCCAGCTTCATTGTTGTCTGCTTAGAATCCACTCTGCACTCCATAATAGAGAAATGCTTTTATTGTACTAATATTCTTTTGTAAGGATAGGGGACCCATCTGTTGGCAACAAGTGTACAGCTTTTTAGAAGGCAAGTCTGCAAACTTTATACTTGGAAAAGAAAAATTAAGTGCTTCCGGAAACAAACATGTTCAGAGAGCCATGAACCCCCCCATTATTTGAAACCATTCTTAAAATTTTTCACTGCGGTTGCAAGGGCAGGTGAATTGCCCAAAATTTGATCATGTGATCCTCGGGGCACTGCAACAGCCATAACTTTGAGAACAGTCATAAATACCATTTGTTCAGCACAATCATAACTTTGAAAGGCCGTTAAGTGAGGACAAACTGTGTGTTATAAATAGGCACATTCAAACATTTTTGAAACCATAAGGATAATTTTTGTTTTGGGTTACATGTATATACAGGTTTGCGTTTTATGGTAAACCTATATGTCTACTGTGCAGACATACAGGTCCTAAAGTACTCCCCATTTCTCGATAGGCAACCAACTGGCAACCAAGAGAACAGATTAAGTAGCTTCTTTTCCTCCCATCTTACAATTTTGACTATTAACATGTTAATACTAAAATGGAACAAGAATATGGAAGTTTTCATTACTGGAAAGGTGCCCTGAAAAGGAACAGATTGAGCCAAAACCGAATAACATTTGGTTGAATACAGTGTGGAAGCCAAACTTCTGATGTGAAGCTTTATAGGTATCCAACAAGAGTACTTTTTTGCTTCTGAAAGTTTTTGCAGTCAAATTATGCTTCTCATGATTTTCACATTGAAATGATTGGTGGTATCTTGCTCCACATCAGTATTTATTGCTCTACTGTATTGTTGTATACTGTAAATAAAACAAGAAACATGAGAAGGTATGGGTGTGGTTTTTGTTTTTTAAATCACTGGATTAAAAATTATGCTTCTGGATTTCACAGAAGTAAAACCAAATTCCTTTCTCTTGGATTTGTAAGAGCGGGCTGTTTTCAGATCATGACATTCCTTAGTAAGTAAGTGCTTTCCTGACTATTTGAATAGCCACTACATCTATCTTCAGTAGGCAATTAAATGGCATTAGATATACCATACTTAACAACTTCAAATACATTTCTCAGCAATAATCTCCCAGGCTTTTAGCCCTGCCCATGTTTGGAGGGTAGGTCTTATCACACTGCACCAAACCTGATGTGCACTTGACCCAGTGGAAATGGTATATTGTTGCCCTGTAATATACACGTTCCAGAAATACGTATATGCTTTTTTAACTGGCGTAATCTGCATCTCAGCCCAAAGATGCTTTATAAGAAGTGCTTGCTGATGATCATGGGGAAAAATATCACACTTGGGCATTCAGCTTCCATTATCTCTTTTGCTGCAAAAGACATTCACTCCAAAATATCTGAAGAGCAATAGGTTGTTTATTTTCTGCCCAGAGGAAAAAAAGTTGTACATAGTCTCTAATTACACACATCACAGTCTATTTTATGACTCTTGATTTTTTTTTTTATAAACTTCAGATTTATGGTATTCTAACACTAGTCAAGTATCAAGTCGATCTAGTAAGCCGCTAATCCTAAACAAAAATTGCAAGGAAATTAGGTCTTTTGGTAACCAATGAAGGATTCCTCTTCTAAGGAAGGAGAAAGCTTGTCTTTAAACACATTTAGGCAGAGGTTTCACATCTGAAAGTTGCACAGTGCCCCCTAGTGTCTAAAAGATCAATTTAGTCTCAGTCTTGCCATACTAGGTGTCCACCTCTGTTGGGTTTAATAAAGTCCTATCATTTGGGAATGGAGATAAAAATGGGTGGGGTAGGGGCGAGGCATCAGATTGAGGAACACTCATTTTCTTTTACCCTTACTCTGAAATCTATTCTTACAAGCTAAGTCTTTCAGGTTCTGACAGACCTGTAGCCTCGTTCGGGCACTTCCAAATCAGTCCTGTGGAAATTATATGTTAGTCTTGAATAAATGACCATCACTTCAGATATAAATCTAGATCAGCTTTCTTTAATCTGATCCTTTCAATCTAGTAGATTAACTTTACTGACTAGAAATGTTGATGAGTTTAAGCAACACTAGTGATGAAACTGATGAATTTAAGCAACACATTGTTATAGTAGTAATAAAACAAGCAGAATAGCATTTCCATATGCATGCCAGGTCTAGATAGGGTCAGCTTCCAATTTATCCAAAACTAGCCTTCGCTCACGTGCAAATCCAGAATAGTAACAAAATTCTAGGCCCTTGAAGTTTTGGAGGTTTCTGCCTCTAATACAGGTAGTCCTTGACTTACCACCTCAAGTGGGCCCAGAATTTATGTTACTAAGTGAAAAAATTGTTACATGAGCTTTCTCCTTTTGTTGCCACATTTGACCCTGGGGCACTGTAACCGTCATAAATATGGACCAGTTGTCAAGCATCTGAATGTAAATCACACGACCGTGGGGATGTTGCAAACGGTCGTAAGTGTGAAAAGTGGTCATAAGTCACTTCAGTGCTGTTGTAACTTCAAGCGGTCACTAAATGAACTGTTGTAAGTCGAGGATTACCTGTTCTTTTTCCTTCCTCATCCCTCCACTGAGGTGGGAGGAAAGTAAAACAGGTATAGAAAAAAAAACTACTGCAGATATCCAATGCTCTCGCTCTGTCTCCCTCCCTCTCTCTGTCTCTCCCTCCTCTCTGTCTCCCTTTCTCTGTCTCCCTCCTTTTCACTCGTGTCTCTCTCCCTTTCTCTCCCTCCCTCCCCACTCCCTCTCTTCTTTCTCTCTCTGTCTTCCACCCCCCCCCCCTCACACACACAC